ACAACCCGACCCATCAATCGACCCAAGTTTTGTCCCCCTGATTCAGGCTCGGTGCCCTCAAAATGGAGGCACCCGAGTCGAGTTAGACGAGGGAAGTGTTGACAGGTTTGACACATCGTTCCTAAGAAAGGTGAGGTCAAGTCGCGTGGTTCTCCAATCTGACCTAGTCCTATGGAAGGACACTGAGACCCGAGTCATCATTGAAAGGTTATTAGGCTTACGCCGACCATCTTTGAAGTTCGGAACCGAGTTCGGGAAGTCGATGGTCAAGATGAGTCTCATAGAAGTTAAGACTGGCTCAGATGGGGAGATTCGTAGGGTTTGCTCAGCGATCAATTAAGAACTAAAAAAACACAAATGTGAAGTTTGTTTTTAATATATGAACTTGTTAACTAATAATCATTTGGTTGATATAATAAGCTTTGCTATAGCATCTCGTGGTCGATGGTTACGTTTTGGTTTTTCAAGTGTAAGATTGTACTTGTAACAAAAATGTAAAATATATAAAAGTGTTATTTGTTTCTTTACCCGTGTACGGAAGGTATTTAAATGAGCGAACTTTTCAAGGAAGTAAAAGTGTTGAATATGTTTGATTAATCAATGGAAGCTATACAATATGGAATATCCGAGATTCGTTGGCATATATTTGCCCAATAACACACAGTTTTTTTTATTCGATATACTGTATAGTGTATAGGCCACTCCTGCTTCCATATCTGAATAATGGGCCTCTCCTATATGCTTTGACCCAATATTCATGTTTTGGAGCCTTGGGAACTTGTACTAGATATATCAAGCTAATGTAATCAATATCTTTCACATGGGAACAAAACGGACAAAGATAAACGTAAACAAGCAAAAAAAAAAAAGGGTTAATACTAAAGGTGGACGCAGCCACCGACCCCGATCAAAATCTGGATCAACTATGCATATACATTAATCTACAGCGTTGTCGCATCCTTCATGATCAGACAGAAACCTCTCTCCATTGTGGATGCATGCAGCAACAACTTAAGCGGAAAATTGGCGATAACTCTTCTGTCAAATACTCGAAAATTATGAGAGAGAGAGAGAGAATGGCAGATAATCGATTCATATTCTTAACTTTTGGATTCGACAACTTGAAGATTCACTTGGTTTGTTTGAGATTTTTTAGTCTCCACTGAAACTGAGATTTCTTATAGAAAAATAAAAATTTGGAAATTGAAACTATATGAGTGATACAGGGTAGGGTAGAGACTAGAGAGGGATTGGCTAGTATTTAAACTCGAAAAACGTACAACAGGGAAATGTAATATTTCATTCAATATTCTCTTTCTAGTTTTCTCTTTTTTGGGAAAGATTGAACGACTCATCGTTATTCTACATACACAGGCACAAAAATAATAGTTATTGGACTGTTTTAATGAGCTTACAAAATTGAAAGCTACGAAATTTATTCTTGGCCCAATATACGCCTGGTTCCACTACATATTGGTCGGAATCCTAAAATGATATGGGTTTCAAAGGGATGCATAAATGTATTGGAACCAGGCTCATGTTAAATTGATGCTATACATTAATTGCTCATTCGTCTAACACAACACGTATCGAGTATCGACGCTCTTTTCCTCCTCGTAAGCTTCGTGGAAGAAGTCGCAATTTTAAAGGTTAAGATTAAAAATCTATAACAGCAATGAGCAGTAGTCCACTGTAACAAAATTTACAATCGAGCTTACACATTTATCTATAGCTCTAGAATACAGTCACGCTTTGGAAAACCAACCGACCAAATTTAGCGTCATTTCGCATGAACGACGTACAAAAGTTTCGGAATCTTTTCAAAAGTGTTTTTTGTTTACATCTCCAAGAAGCAGCCAGCTTGAACGTGACCTTCATATTTTTCATGCCTTTCCAGTTTTACCCATCGAGAGTTGCTCATATCCCAATTATACCCTACGCTTGGTTCGCCGTACCGAGCAGAACCGATCACGACCACCTTCCCGGACCTCCTTACCGCCACATAAGACACATTGCACACGTCAGCAGGTAGATCCCCCACTTTATGCCACGTATCGCCTCTCATCACCATCAGATCACGGCGACAACAAGCGTACAAATCTCCGTTCTCGCCGGCAGCACAAATCGGAGGCCACGTAGTCATCCCCGTAGAGAGGAACTCGTCCGCTTGGGAACCCCACCGCCACGTGGTGACGTCGAACGATTCAGCTGTTTTACTAAACTGCCCTTGCTCCTCAGTGGCGTAACCACCGATGACGTGGAATTTGCCAGAGTGGAAAATAGCAGTGCACTCGTCTCGCTCACGGCCCATATCCGGCAAAAAGGCCCATTTATCTTCGGCCACGTCATATGCTAAAGCTGACATCATGGCGTTCTTGTCTTCGTCGTGTCCACCCGCCACGAAGACGTTCCGTTCAGAATCCGAAGCGCAGGCGAAGAAAGAACGAGGTCCACCTGGCATGCTCGCCCCGACGCGCCACGTAGACGTCAAGAAGCTGAAAACGAAGACCGAGTCAGAGGTCCGCCATGTGACCGGGTCAAGTCCGCCCAATACAACAAGATCCGACCCGACAGAGGCTAGTCGGCAGAAGAGAGGCAACCCGTTGGATTGGCCTTGGCCTGGGACAGGAGGCAGCTCGCTCCTCAGACCGGACCCAAGTTCAAGAACGGAAACCCGGTACACGGGGGTGGGGATGGTTTTACCCGATCCGAGTTTCTTGACCGGGTCGTCGACTTGAGCTTGAGACAGGACAACAAGCTCTTGACTATGTCCTGAAGATTTCCGGTGTCGGAAAAAATCAGGGAGGCTGATTTCACGCTGCCAGAGTTTGCAAACGGAGGCCATAAGAGGGAACTGCTGGTATGAGCTGCGTAGGAGACACTCGCGGGCTACGGTTTCGGGAAGATCAGGAATAAGCTCCATCGTCTTGGAAAGTTAAGGTTCGAGAAAAAAATGTTTGCAAATAAGGTGTATTATTTTTTTAAAGGAAATATATTGAGATTGGGAATATGATTTGATTATGAATGTCGAATGAGGTGAGGAGAGAAGAGAGAGTGTGTGGCCACTTTATAGAGAGATTAAAGTCTTCTGGAAGCTATAAACTGAAACTGGAATATTTTTCTTTAATTCGAGGATAGATAGGTAATTTAATTTATCTTATATCGACCCATTTTCGATTCCAATAAGAAGATATAATTGGTTAAGACATGAAAAGTAAAAGATTGCGTTTCTCTCATGAAAAGTTGCTATATACATATAAAACTTTTGAATTATTTTGCTTTTACGACTTTTTTTTGCTTCTTTTGTTTTTGATGGTATACGAACGTATCTGATCTCTCATTGGGAATTTTATGTAAAATACCACTTTCAAAACTCAAACTTTTAAAACTGCCATTTTCAACTTTGTATTTTGTAAAATGCCATATTCATTTTTATTGTAAATTAAAAAGACAAATATATCCTCAAAGAAAGAAGACAAAAAAATCTGACATAAACCAATTATGGACATTAATTAATAGACAAGTTTTTGTGTGTGCCGATACTCTTTGCTTTTATTATATACGTATAATGGACAACAAATTAAGAAACAAAAAATGGACATATTACAGACATCAGATCTAGTCCACCGAATCTAGTCCATCAACGCACAAATGTGTGATCGAAAGTGTATACCTAGATGGATCATTGATGATATCTTCCATAGATGCATCATTTGTTTTATCTTCTGCTTAATTTCTTGTGGTTTCAAGAAATCTGTAGGATGGACAAGTTTGGTCTACCGATTCTGGTCCACCAGATCTGGTCCATCAGAACTGGTTATGGTTCGCTGTAACTTCTTCACCTAATATGATCCACTGAATCTGGTTTGCCGGATCTGATACTCCAGAATTGGTCCATCGAAACTGGTCTGTCATATCTCGTCTATCAGATCTGGTCTACTGAGACTTATTCCGCTGGAACTGGAACTGGTCCGCCGGAACTGCAACTGGTCCGCCGGAACTGGTCCGCCGGAACTGGTCCGCCGGAACTGCAACTGGTCCGTCGGAACTGCAACTGGTCCGCCGGAACTGGTCCACCGGAAATGGTTCGCCGGAACTAGTCTGCCGGAATTGTAGAGAGATTTGTTTGTTGTTGAAGAAAGAAAAGATGAAAGAAGAAGAGAAAGAAAGAAAGAAAAAATGAAAGAAGAAGAGAAATAGATGAGAAAAAATGAAAGAAAAGAGAGAAAGTTTGAGTGAGGGATAGAATTGACATTTTTATGAGTTAAAGTGGGTACTATGTCATTTCTTAGAAGATTGGAATGAAAGTGGCATTTCTTAGAAGAAATGACACTGTTCATGGCAGAGAATACAATTTTCTCTTTGGTTTATCTGATGGAGACCTTGAACCAAATTGAGATATGTTGAAATTATGTGATGGTCAATAGATTTCTAGATCTACGAGCATCTTTTCTAAGCAAACCTGGCTAACTAGCTTCAATTAAAGTCTCGTTAATTAACTCATCTATTTGTTGCTAATTAACTAATCGTACTCTCGACTTGTTTTTCTTTTTCTTTTTCTTTGGTGTATGTTGTAGATTATATATGTTAAATGAACACCTAAATCCATCTGTCACGTTAAGCATCTTATAATATTCGTAGGTGACTTTGCGAATGATGGATATAGTTAACACTCTCTATCACTAATCGCAATACTTATAAGATGGTCGCCGTGGAATTAACGTAACCGTGTGCCCCTAATTATTCAAATATATATATATATATATATATATATATATAAAAAGAATTATATAGAAGCTTTTAAGTAACGTGTTAATGAATCTATTGTAACCACGTTGTAGCTTAAATGGAGACAAATCAATATAAAATATTACTACTAGTATTCAACTAGCTGATCGGATCAGTACGTAGTGGGTATATATATATAAGGAAATCAATAAATAATACGCCAACATTTTAATGCAAGGGTTCTAAATGAATGCTAAATTCCAACATTTTATAAATAAATAAATAAAAGTCAAGAGTATGGTAATTAAATTATTCGAAACCGACAAAAAGAAAAGGTTACAGTATTTCGAAATAGTTTTATAAAAAGGTCCATCCATGTGATCCCATGTGGCGTAACTTATTCACGAAGACATGCTAACCAATAGCCACCTAGACGATTATTCTATCCTAACAACACTATACTATATAGTATAGTGTCAGATTTATCATATCATATCAATAAACACGGATGATTATAGAGTGAACCATATGCTTAAATTTGGTTAATCCTATCCAAAAGCGACTAGACGGTCTAGTGTGTGTGAGAGCGTCTCGATGTAAATTGTTAAAGATTTTGATAAATACAGTACGAACTTGATTATTTAAATCAACCGGAACATTTTAAAAGAAAACTGATGATGATTTGGCTTTGATTGGTCGAACAGAAAATACAATTCGCCCAACGCAAAACACGATAATATAAACACGAAATTCTAGAAGTATAAGGCGACTTTTAAAACAAGGCAATAATAGAAGAAAACAAAAAAAAAAGAAAAACAATGCAATAATAATACCTTTGTCACTTTCACTGACTTCTTTGTTTTCTGTTACATTATCATATCTATTCATAATAGACATTTTAAATAATTTAGTAGAGATACTATATAGTAAATGACAAAAACCACATACCAAACTTAAGTTTGTCCCCTCTAAAAGAAAACAAAAAAACAAAATCATAGTAGTAGTTTTGATAAATTTTACTTTTTTTTCAGCAAAATCAGATTGTCACTAATTTTTAAGAGTTATACTTAATTACTGTAACACAATTATGACATATATCATACACTAAGAAAAATATAGCATAAGGAAGACTGATAATACTTTTTAAAGAATAATCACACTCATCAACCAATTGTACGTTAGCTAAAGGCTAAAGCAATACAAAGATGAGACGATCTAGCTACTAAAATGGTATATGTCTGTCCATCGTCCCAACCGACAATGAATAGCTCCATAAACAAAGTCTATCACGTCACTCCATATAGGAGATTGATCAGAAGAGAAGACGATGCATGTAATGTATCATCATCCATCATTAACTAGTCCTTTCCTTATCCGGAGAATGTCGATCGAACATCTCGGACAGATCATCATGTCTTTCGCCAAACATTTTTGATATATATATATAGCATGCATATTAAAGGAACACAACTTATAGATTAGAGAGATCCAATGCACTCTCGCAGCCTACTATTCCAACCTTTTTGCTCTCCATTGTGGGAAACGTGTGTCTAACAACAATTTCGAAAGAAGTATTAATAAAGACAATCCGTGAACATGTAGTTGATACGAAAATAAACACACACAAAAAAAAAAGTTATTACGAATTTTTTGACTAGTTAATAAGAATTGAGAATTATACTGAATTTACGTAGATAGAGATTACAGAAATGTATTCACAAAAAAAAAAAAGAAATGTATAATATATGTATATATGTCATGTATACTATCGTTTTATTTCCAAATTAAAAATATATATATATATATATATTTTGTCCTCAGCTGAAGAAGATGATATCAAATTATTTTATATAAAGATATAATTTACTACGTGACAAGAAGAGGACTCTATATACTTGAATTTGTACGGTCCAATGTCTCTAATCAAAAGCAGTGAGGAGCCCGTGAATATCTTCTTACAACTTGTGTTGTCTACTTTTGTCAGTTTCTCTGATCGTTATCCAATTTGCTGACGTAGATTATTTGTCTTCGTTTAGCAGTAAACTCTCTACTATATATAGTTTAGGAGATAATTACTGATTTTTAAACTACCGTGTTTATGTCTCTTTGTTTTTCCTCTAAGTGTCTTGTCCGGAGGTCAAAGCGTAAGAAGTGGGGGAGGCCAGGTTCGAGAAAGGCGGGGTTTAAAAATTAATCAGTTCGGAAGCCAAAGTACTTTTTTTCTTATTTAAACCGTATAGAAAACAAAGTACAATAATATCGTCAGCCATTTAATTTTGCTCTTCCAAAATTGTGTTGCTTCTTTTTCAAATATTGGCATTTTACCTAAAAAGTGGAATGTTTTGTACGAAAAAAATCAAGTTGCTGCTACTTCTATCAAAAGGTTAGGATAGGACCATCCATCATCAACAATTACTCAATATTGCAATTCAATCTCGCCACACTATCCAAGAAGAGTAGATTAATGAGGGGTAAGAATGTTAAGTTCGAGTTTAAAAGAAAGTCTAGACAGCTAAACTAAGATTGGATTTTTTTTTTTTGGGGGGGGTTCTATTATCAACAGTTTTAAAAAAAAACTATTTGAAAACAATTGTTATATTCATTGTATCTTTTTCATATGCCTTTTTCTTTATTATATTTTTTTAAAACTAATATCAGTTACATTGTATATATTTTTATTTTTCAATTTCATCATCATAAATTAATGGCCATCAACCATTATCTTTTACAACATAAAGTCGATAATAACCTGACATTTGTTTTAATCAAATAGCAACCTAAATACACTGTACAATATATTTGACTTTAGTTTGGAGAATATAATAATAGTCAAGGCAGCATTTAAGAGAGAAAGGTGATTTACGAAAAGTACCCTAAAGATATATCAAAGAGGCAAAAGACTAATGTGATTTGACAAATTCAAGTTGACAAGTATCATGGAAGAGACTAATCGAGCGTTGAAATACTCCCGTTACATTTGCCAAAAAGTCTTATGCTGTTGCGGTTCTAAAGGAAGACAGTGACAGGTTTAGTGAAGGTCGTAAGACACAATACACACCATCTATCTATAGAGAGTTATGATCACAAGAGGATGGTTTATCATACTCTCTAATGCCGGGCAGCAAAATCAACCAGATCTTTGTAATCATCAGATACAAATGATTTCACCTTAGATGCGCGCTTGTCGTTTTTACCATCTTCCGGGGATCCATACTTTATGCCGATAACAGTAGTCAAACCTGTGGTAACAATAGACAAGTTACAAATTGAAAAACAAGTATATTGAAATCGTTGTGGTTAAACGAATATGTGACTTACTCTCATGGATGCGCCCGTACAAGAATCTTTCACCTCTCCAGTATTCGAGTGGTCTCGACTTAATTCTTGTACTTCTTCTGATTCCACCTTCCATTTTAGTACCAGCACCTTCGACAGGGCCAAAAAAAATAAAATAAAAAAAGAATTAGTCCAAAGTGCAGCACCACAAACGTAGTTAAGTTTTTTTGGCAAGTCTATGTACCTGCAAGGCTTTTCCTGCGCGAGAATATTTTCGCTTCACGCGTAACAGTTTGCTTTTGCTTCTTCTCTTCTCTCTCGTTGGATTTTCTTTTGGTTTGCTTCTTCGCTCCACTTTCATGTGGTAATGTTTTCATTTGCTTGTCGCCTCCAGTCTCACCATGCACAGTCTTGTTTCGCTTTTTCATATTGCTATCAGAAGATCCCCTCTTTCTTCTTTTGCTTCTTTGTTTGTCTGAGGAGTTGTGAACCTCCTGCTGAAAATAAGTTGATCAAAAAATTTCTAATTCATTTGTGATTTGTAAAGGATAAATGTAGAGAAATGATGAACCGACTATAACAATTGAGACAACATGAAGATGAATTGGCCTTGATATCAGACTCCACAGAAGTGAACAGAAAATAATGAGAAACTAACCTGAGGATTTTCTACTTGAACTCCACAAGCAGTGTCCCTGTTGTCCTTTTCCTCCTCATGTTGGCTCTGAATGTCATCTGCATGTTCAAAGGATCCATCCACTGTATTGAACTGTTCTGGAGCTCTGTTTGGAGACTTTGAGGATGCACCTGTAGGCGAACAAAACGGCGTAAGGAAAAATTTGAATCACAATTATAAGGTGAACTGAAAAACGATGGAAGTAAGTATCTAATGGTAAAGTGTGGAAAGTTAAGGTAGGAGATATGCTAATGTGCTTGATTAGTTTTAGAGATTTCAATATAGCATGCAGGTAAAGGTTGCCGTACCTTGCTGATACGGGATACTATCCTCTTCTACAATAAAAGGTCCTGTAACCTCCCTAGATGCATACTCCGCCTATATGACAAACAAATTCACAAGAGGTGTGTAACCAACAAGAGGTTAAATTATGTTAATAAAAAGTACCGTACAGTCAAGGAGAAACTAACCAGCCTTTCTAACCGATCAGTGTCTTCATTGACATCAGCATCATTTTCCCTTGTGCCAGAGTTACTGTTTGCTCCACCTTCACTCACGGGCACATCTTTTCCTTTTGTTTGCATTTCTACATTCACCACTAGCGTAGCTGAATTTTTGTAAGTGATGCTATCATCCACACAATTATCTGCGTTCCCATCTCCACTTGAATGAAATCTATGGATGCCAATACCAGAATCATCTTCACCGGAACTCTTCTTCACTGAGCTGTTGAAAGGTTTACCAACGTCTATAGTACCCACATTAGACGGGGATGTAGTAGTTATATCTTTATCAGCATCCTTGGTCAACGAAGAGCTGGAACCGATATTCAAACCTTTTGCTGAAGGTTGTATATCAACCTCAGTAGACTGGTGCTTCCCTGAAAGCAAATTATGGATGTCAGGAAATGATAACTGTTCCTTTGGTGGGTTTGGTGACGAAAAATGTTTTTTCATCAGGGGGGATGGCGAGTGGCTATTTCTTCGAACCCCATCCGTGTGGATCCATTTCAGCGTATTCTGTATATTAGACAACACACTCTTTCGGGATGCCTTCAAGTCCATTTCTCTAACATCTTGAAGTTCAGAAATATCTTTTTCATTAAAGGGCTTGATATGCAAGCGATCCTGCAAAAGATTGATGGCACCATCCCCCTCAAGCTCATCCCGACTGCAAGCAAGCAACTCATTCAAAATGTTGTCTAAGTCCTTGTCCGTTGCTACGGTTGAATCTGCAAAACACAGTTTCTTACACTATCAGAAGGTAGCATGATTTAACAAAATGGTAACGACCATGATCAAACAAATCATCACTCACCTTCGACTTCCCTGTCCGTATTCATAACTGGTGCAGCTGTAGTCTTTTCTAGGCTTTGTTCAGAAGGAATGGGGTGTTCCTTTTCTGAAGTTTCCTGGTTGATAGCATCAGTGAAATAATTATCCGTATAACTATGCTTGAATGGAGCCCGTTTCCTCCTAAAATTTGAAATTTTTCAGTATCAAGGGAAACAGATAGCAAAATATGCAAATCAAACAACTCTGAAACATGCTCTAGCAGAGTTGCCATAGTACAAACCCTGGAATTCCTGATCTGTGAGGGCGCCTTGATGGCGGGTTCTGTTGCGTATCTATTACACTGGAGCCAGTCAGCTTCTGCCATTCTCGATTGGCAACTATTTCAAATCCAGCAAAAAGAAAGCATAAATGAATGACAGTTGTGTAAGAAACATGGCAAGAATATGAATAACAGAAAAGATAAACTCACGTTCAAATTTATCATATTCAGCAAAGTAATCTTCAGGTCTTGGAAATTTACCACCATCAAAGCTTGGTGCAACTGGAGGTGGTCGACTGCAACAAGAATATTTAATATAGGTTTTCAACTAACTTGTAAAGAAATCGGATGAAGTGAAAAATAAAGAAATTTAGTATACTAAATCATTGGATCAGTTGCTATGATCTTTACCTTGTCGTAAGGTTAACAGAAAAGCTTTTTCGCTTACGGTCTAATCCCGGTCTTCGTTCTCGTTTATTTGGATCAGGGTTCAGCTTGACATCTACATTCATATCTTCTAAGATAGCTTTTGCCTGCTCCTGATGCTCTTTTTGAATTTCAAAAGGCTGTAAGGTAGAAGCCAAGAATTTGACAAGAAATAATTAGACTGAGATACTGAGCTTGAAATGTCAGGATATAACACTGAAAGGGATAATATACACAACCGACAAAGAAAAATGTTCTGCAAAATCTTAACAACTAAAACTAAGAAAAGCCTTTAAGCCAAAAGAATAGTGGTACAACACTTCATATATAAATCATTAACAGGCTATCTAACTACAGCTTATGTACTGAGCAAACATAAAGCTGTTGTGCTTCCTTGGGTCTGCGCTCACATAATACGAACCCAGAGACACAACGCCTAGATCTCACGGTTATCCAATATCAGAATTCTTAAACTTCCGAGGAAATTGCTTTCTGATTTCAGTTAACACAGAGACATTTCGTACAGTAGGCTCATAAATCAGACTCTCTGTAAGCAAAAACCTAATCTTCATCATTTGGGAACACCCAGAAGCGGATTATCAGAAACAAAGCAGGAATGCGATTAAACCAGCCAGAAATCTCTCAAACTGATTTCGTAGCCGTAAAATCACCAACTCGAATCGTTTCCGTAATTACGATCTAAGCAAACCAAACCCTAGCTAATGCATCAAATCGAAGTGTAAAGCAGGTTAAGAGGGGGGGGGGGGGAAAGCTTACCATAGACTCAAGGAGAGTATGGGTCTGCTGTAGATCTTCGGATTGATGAAGTCTAGGAGGAGGAAGAGGATTCGACAAGGATTTTAATGTGCGAGGAAACAACGATAGACCTGAGTAAGCATGAAGGGGATCATCCGACTCTAAACTTGAATTGTGGCGCACATCAGCCATCTGAATCACCGAGCATTTCTCCGCCGATGATGAGATTCTCGAGAGAGAGAGAGAGAGAGAAGAGATGAGTTTTGAAAATTGAAATGTTAGAGAAAGCGGGATTCAGTGTCAATCTAGATTCTAGGGTAAAATTATGGGCGGGATGGAAAAGTAAAAGGAAAACAACACTGCCGAAGACTGGATAAGGAGGATTATTAAAAAAATCGTGAACGGCAGGATTCGAACCTGCGCGGGCAGAGCCCACATGATTTCTAGTCATGCCCGATAACCACTCCGGCACGTCCACTGATTTGTTATTTAAACCACTAAAATCTGTAATACACGCTTCATTCAGTGCCGATAGATACCAGTTTTTATGCTCTATCTATATTCTTTTCAAAAGCGGTCTATAAAAATGTACTGGGATCGACCAAAGTCAAAAGCGAAACACTACGACTCTTTTTCGTTTCACTTTATCATATTTATTATCTTCTTTTTTATTGTTTTCTCCTTTTGGTTCACAAAAAAAAAGTACGAATTCAGTAGTGACATTTGCAAATACAGAGATATAGTAATACAACAACTGTTGACCAAGAAAACATGTGATCCAACTCTTTTCATCATCCCCGCGCAACAACGAGATCAGCGAGTAAGATCTTCACGTCGATGACTCCTCCTCTTCAGTCCTCACGCCTAAAACGGCTGTAAAACATAACGTCGTAAACATACAGCAACACGTCGCTGCACATATTACATTAGGAAGCACGTATCGAATGCAACCAAAAGCTAGGAAAACCACACATAACCTGCAATAACAAACAACGATAATGAATAATGTTTTTTTTGGGATATTATATTGTAAAATTTGTTCGATGCGTACCAGAAGAGTTGACTAGTATGATCTAGAGACGATGAGCTGCAAACAAAGACCCAGAAGAACACCATGATCCAGCCCGCAAAGAAACATCCAAACATCGTCCTCAAACCAAACATCACTCGATTGATTCTGAAAAAAAAAAAGCATTAATGTTTGTTTCTAAGTAAACAAAGAAACAAAAAAAGAAACACACAAATTAATCATACGTACCTTAGGTGTGAGATAGGATGAAGGATCTGCCAGAAACGCCAGCATAGAATAGGGAGACTGGCAATACAACCATAAGTATAGACGAGGATCCATGTTGCTTCTGGATATTCACCTTTGGTTCCTTTAACAACTGCTATGGCTGCAACAATCTGGACCAAGGTCATAATAAGCTCAATCAAGTTCGAAGCAATTGCAACCGGATATGATACTAGCGTATAGATTAATGAAGAATAATCATCGGGTGTCATGTCGACGATGTGCTCATCGTTGCTCAACAAAGGGCTCTCCATTATTCACACTTTTGGTTTCTTTCTACTTCTCGTATTCAAATCGAACTTAATTAATCATATGCGTTTAAATACAAAACATTTATATAGACGGCCTTCCAAGTATAAACCCAGACCATTCGTAAGTCAATTATAGTAATATCCTAGAATGAATAAACAACCATTGAAGTTACTATTTGGTTGGTACCAAATTATAGTATTAATTCTACATTGAAAGCACAAAGCATTGACCTTGTCAAGTAATTAATCCTTCAGTTTTTCGCCAGCTTCGGCATCATGTGAGCAGCCTTTCATGTTGTTCCTTTGCTCTACTTTTGCAAGTGGAGCTAATTTTTATATGAAGTAGTGACGCTTTCATGTAGTTAAATATCTCAACAGGGGCGGCTGTCTCCTGATAGTAAAGACACCGTAGGGGCTGCTCGTACAACTACCCAGTATAACTAAACGCTTATCTTTGACAATTAGGTAAGGACAAAATGTGTATATTGGATTAAACTCCATAAAAATAAAATTATATATAGGCCTCTTTTTGTTAATCGATATTTTTTCCAAATTGTGGTTTTCTTGCATAGATAGTTTTGGTACGCAAGAAAATGCTTTTGAGTAATCGCTCAGCGATTTCAATAAGAGAGGATCATTCAGTAATGACACCTTGGTTTTTATTTTTTTAAGTGTTACAAACAATTGTTGATCAAAGGAAAGAAGAAAACAAGATCACACCATTATTATTTTTATCAGCATGAATATTTGGTGCTTATGATTCCCAAAATGCACATAACGATTCCACCGATAAGCACCATGTTGGGGCTCACGCCTTCCTGGAATGCAGTCACCCACGATAAACAAACAAAAGCTAAACAGAAGGTTGTACATTTTAAGTTGGGAAGAACGTATCGTATGCAACTGAAAGCAATGAAAGCCACACATAGCCTGCAAATTAAAATGACAATGGTGAATATTATTACTTAGCCAGAGATCAGCCGAATATATTCTGTTCTTTAAAAAAATAACATTATCGTTAAAAAAACAAAAATAGACGCCCACCAGAAGAGGGGAGACGTATGATCAACAGGTGATGAGTTGACAAAAGAAATCCATAAAAAAGCCACAAACAAGCAGACGAATAATTGTTCAAGCAGCTTCTTTACACGGGCCATTGGACTCCTGCGAACCCAATAAAAACCATTATCGATCGATTTCGGTTTCTAATGCCTAACAACAACAAAAAAAAAAATGAAAAAGAAAAAGAAACATAGGTTATAATACCTTGAGTCTAAGCTAACGTTATAATTCCAAAGTTGGCCGCATAGAATAAGGAGAGTGACGATACAAGCACCAGTATAAACATTGATCCATATAAACAATGAATCTTCTTTATGTTTATCATCAGCCCGAGTCACACCTACAATGGCTGCAACGATCTGGACAAACGTCAGTACAAACTCAACCAAATTCATAACATTTTCTTCTGTGAATGGATCACGCGATGGAACGCCCACAGCCTCAAACGGTGTTTGGTCATCAGTTGGTAAAGAACTTTCTTCATCGTTTGTCATGTCGACGACGTGCTCATCATTTGATGAAGAACTGGCACTGGTTGTAACGTCGACATTGTGCTCACTCTTGTTCAGCAAAGGGGACTCCATTAATCACCTTTGGTTTCCTCGGATCCATCGAAACCTGCGTTGAAACAAATGCATATGTATAGTATAGACCTGTCCAATTATTTGATGCTCTGCTGTATCAAAAATAATTATTGGTACTATGTATTATTTAAAAGACTAATTCGAGAGAAACGAAAAAAAAAAAGAAGACAAAATTTAGAAGTCAAATCTCATTTAAATTTTTAATTTTTTAACTGATTTGAATTTGGATATAATTTTCGTAATTTTAATTTAGGCAATGAAATTATGAAATTTGGATCTAGTTAATGGGATCGGTGCAAATTTAAGAAACTGACGGATATTTTCCTTTTTAATAGATTTTAATCCAAAACTTTCCTTTGTAGATAGATTTTCCTTAGTTGGTCCAAAAAAAATTAGATTTTCCTTTTCTTTTGTGAACAAAAAATTGTTGTAATAACAATCATTTCTCGAATTATTGTATAAACAAAATAACTAGGCATCGTGCTGCTCGACTAACACATTAGTAACTTACTCTCGGGAATCTTTTGGATGCCTAGTTATTTTGTTTATACTATAATTAGTTTAGCTTTTGTTGTTATGAGCTTTAAGTATTTTTGGAAGACCTGACTACACGTCCACCACTTAATTCTTCGATTAAATCGGTTCAAACGCAGGGGCGGAGGCAGACAACAACTATAATGGTCAATTGACCCTGGTAAAAATTTTAAATTAGTTGAATTTGTATGTAAATTTTTTTTTTGACCCTTATCCATTAAGACAATTGACTCATATGAATTTTTATCTGATCAAACAATTGACCTATGTGAAATATGGAAATACAAGAATTTAGGTTTATATACATAATATTAGGTATAAAAAAAATTATTTTTTAAGTAAATATACTAAGGTTATAGACTTTTTTGGTGTAGCTTTAGGTTTAGGCTTATGTATTTTTTTTTTTTTAAATGGTGACCCTGGTGGACAAAGTTTCTAGCTCCGCCACTGTTCAAACGTACGTAACGCTGCTCCTAATTAAGCTTAAACGTACGTAATGGAATATAAGCATTGTATCTTTCGTATTTGACAACAACACTTGCTTTACTTGGTAGATAGATAAGAGTGTTACACATTCGTAAACAAAAAAAAACGACATGACCGAATCTTTATTTTTTTATCTGCGTCGGAAACAACAACAACAACAACTGCAGATGCAGAAGATAACGGAGATAGAGATTCCAAAGTATAGAAAGATTGTCCAGTTAATATCATCAACCGTATCAGTAATGTCATCAAGGAAGTCTATAGATTGGGTAACACGTAGTATCATAGGATACAGAAAACAAACCGCCGCACAGGGGAGGTTAGGAAGCACATGTAGAATGCAACTGATAGCAAGGAAAGCCATACATAACCTGCAAAAATATGAAAATGTTACATGGATTATTATTTTTATTAGCGAGAGGGTTTATTCTGTTTTCGATCAGGACATATTTATAACATATTTACCAGAACTGTTGCGTAGTATTATCTAGAGATGATGAGTTATTGATGAGATGCCACGAAAGCACCACAGCCCAACCCACGAAGAAATATTCAAGCATCTTTTTCAAACTGTCCACCACCGTGTAGATTCTGCAAATCAATAATTAAAAACCATTATTTATATCGAATTCGGTTTCTAAGTTTCTAACAAATACTTTTTAAAACAGAATATAGAGTTTATACCTTGTTTCTGAACTAACACTTCGGTAATAATGCGAGAAACGCAAACCTAGAACAGGGAGGGAGGCAACACAACAACCGGTATAACTGACGATCAGTGTAAGTAATGTTTTTTGTGAAGGCTGTTGTTCATCTTTTGTCAGAGACAGGACAGCAATGGCTGCAGCAATCTGGACCAAAGCCACAACAAACTCGACTAAAACCCGAACAGTTCTAAATGTAAATATATCACTGCATTGAACACCCTTATCATGCGGTGTTTGCTCATCAGCTGATGAAGAATCGCCATGAGCTGTAACGTCGACGATGTGCTCTTCATTTGAGGACGAATCGCCATGGATTGTAAAGTCATCGACGTTGTGCTCACTCTTGGTCGTCAACAAAGGGCTCTCCATCGATGATCGTTTTTCGTTTAGGTTGTTCTACTCTGTCCAATCGAATTACTACTAGTTCATATAGATATGAACATGCGTTGAAATACAGCGCTAGCCAATTATTTGGTGCTAAATTATTATTTTAAGACCAATCTCTACGTCAAGATCTATTCTAAAAGTCAATTTGTAAACTAGTCTATTTTTATTTATTTAAATAAACCTCAACGATGTGGATATGCATTTACAAAGAGTACTATAGACATTTCCAACTATTATTATTATTTTAAGACCAAATCGACACCAATACTAATTCTAAGTCAACTACGTAGTCTTTTACAATGAAACACAAGTACGTAGACTTTCGGAGTTAACTTGCTCTTCTATTTTTTTCAAGACCTACACGGTGGCTACACCAAATTCTAAGTCAATTACATATATGTATAGTAGTGAGTACGTGATCTCCTCTCAAGTCTCAACCAATCAACTAGCCGGTAATATGCTAGTGTATTTAAACCATTTCCATAATTATCTCTTAACTCTAGTTTAGAGTAAGTTATTTCTAACCCTATTTTATTTCAACTCAAAAATAGATACAGTATCTCCAGTTATTTCACTATAATATATAAAAGTTGGAACTGAAATAGGGTTAAGGAAAAATTTCACCTCCAAATAGAGTTACTTTAATTTACAGAAAGAAAAAAAAAATGAAGAAATAGGTTAGAAATACTCTTAACTGAACTCGATATTGATTAAAGTCGAATCATCTCTACACATATCAACAATTATCATTCCTTGTGGGTTCTTTGACTAACATAATTGGGTGTTTGGTCTATAGTTATAAGGGAAAGTTAAGATGTTAAGCATGCGGCATGCTTTCTCGTCATGAAGCGCTTCTTCAAGATGACCAAAGAGGCCTTTTACGAAAGAAAAACCAGTTATTCAAATACAGATAATTACATGTTTATCTGCCATGCAAAGATATTGGAACAGAAAGCGTTCATTAATATGCTAATGACACTTGGTTAATACTTTTCTAAATCGAAACAGAGTATATTACAACAATTGTTGAAGAAATCGACATGAGGAGATCCATAATTTTTATTCGAAGAGGGACGCAAACATCCCAATAATGGCCAAAAAGATTCCAACGATGAGCGCAAAGAATGTAGCGACCGCAGTCATCACAGCTTGTATGCCTTCCCAGAGTGTTTTAAGAAGGAACATCACAGGCCACACAAAGCACCCTACTGCACATTGGAGATTCGGAAGCACATATCGAATGCAAGTGAAAGCAAGTAGAGTCAGCCATAACCTAGATAAGGACAATATTGGTTAGTTTAAGAGAGGAGAGTTATGTTGTTTAGACATAATTGTAAATTTAGTTCGATGCCTACCAGAAGTCTTGGGTAGTATCATCATGGGAATTTTATGAACATTGCCATTTTTAAAACTCAAAAATTTAGAACTGCCATTTTCTCTAAAGTATTTTCTGCAATGCCATATAGTTAATAATGATAAAAAATAATTGACAAAATTACCCTCAGCAAAAAGGAGAGAGAGCGCTGGATTCAAAAAAACTGTAGCAGGTTTGACCTTTTTTTTGTAGCTGCCCAAGAGAGCATTAAATGAGAGTAGTGTACGCTAATACCCATAAAATAATTGATTAGTTAAATAATTAGATAATAAAGAAGAGTCAATCCCCTTAGATGGTGGTCCATTAGTGTTGTCTTCAGCGATGTTGTCTACAGGAAATAAAATAGTCAAAGGACAACTTTGAAAACAGTTTTATATAGTCCATCTCCATACAAAAAAAAAGAGTAGCGAGATGGACAATACGTTTAGTAGGTTTTCTGACACTAGAAAATGATAACTATATAGGATTAGTTGTATAAGTGATCAACAACATTTTCCGTCCTCAGCTGCGTAATTCTGGTCCATCAAAAGTTTGTGTTTAGGGACAAGGATTTATGTCCTCCGCAGTGGATCGAAGAGACGATCTGATAAGGACAAAATTATAGTGTTACAATGGACAACAGCATAATGGAACTCAAGTCCACAAGGGAATAAATTTGGAATTGCAACTTCTCTTTACATATGCAACCTCAGCCTCGATGGAAGCCTTAACGACGTCGACATCACCTTTTTCGCGTTCGTCGGCGTCGACAATTATAACTCTGCTTTGGAGGTAGGGTTCTCGGGTTCGGCGAGTGTATATCTTGGCTAGGCGGAAGAAGCTCCACAGTTTTAGTAGAGACAACATTTCTGTCATAGGATCTTGTCCACCAAATTTAGTCCATTGGATCTAGTCCACCAGATCTAGTCCATTGGATCTAGTCTATCTACATACAAAATGTGTGATCTAAAGTATAAACCTAAATGGATCGTAGATGACGACTTCCATAGATGCATCACTTGTTTCATCCTCTAATCAAACGCTTGTGGTTTTGGAAGATTTGTACGATGGACAAGTTTGGTATATCGATTCTGGTCTATTAGATCTGGTCCATTGATAGAGAAAAAATGGGCTGGAAAAATGGATCTAGTCTGCTAGCGTGGACCACATACTTAGAATGAAGCATCGTTATTCATCGTTGTAGTCGAACAATTTCATCATAAACTAGATTAAAAACAAATATTAATACCCACAAAAGAGAGAGTTGGAGAGAAAGAAATTTTTTTTAAAAAAGTGAAAAAAGCACTGAAAAGTTTCGTAGGTGTTAGATAGTATAGCTTTATGTGAAAGAAAAAAAATGAAAATAAAAACAAAACTGATCTCAATTGTACAAGGGTAGAATAGTCTTTTTAAATTAGAGATATGGCACCCAAGAGAAGGAAAAAGTAAAACTGGCATTAGATATAAAAAATGTTATTGTTCATGGTAGATTCCACAATTTTCTCTATCATCATTATCACGTGATGATAACTCGGTGAAAAAGTACCATAAAAATACCACAACCATACACACGAAGAAAGATTCAAGAAACTTTTCCAAGCCGTCCATCACCTCGTTGATGCTGCAAATTAAAAAAAAAAGTAAACCACTATTGATGTCGGTTTCTAATGCCTGAAAAAGAAAATAAAAAAAAACTAGTTTATACCTCGTCCCTGAGCTACTAGCGTCTTGGTTATAATTATGCCATAAACGCCAACATACGATAGGGAAAGTGGCAATAGAAGCACAAGTATAACTGATGATCCATATAAACAGAGGTACATGTAGTTCTGAACGCGGTTCATCTTTTGTCAGATTCAGGAAACATATGGCTGCAAGAATCTGGACCAAAGTCACAACAAACTCGGCCAAAATCCAAACACATCCACTTGTGAATGGATTACTCCATTGAATACCCTCATGTGGTACTGTTTGCTCATCAGCTGATGAAGAATCACCATTGATTGTAATGTCGACGGTGTGCTCATCAGCAATGTGGACATTGTGCTCCTCATTGGAGGAAGAATCGCCATGGATTAATGTAACGTCGTCGACGTTGTTCTCACTCTTGGTCAACAAAGAGCCTTCCATTAATTAGTTTTGCTTTCTTCTACTTTAATTTGTCTAATCGAATTAATAGTTCTTATATATAAACCTGCATTGAAATACAAAGCACATTCACCGCTCTCCAATTGTTGGTGCTAAATTATTATTTTAAGACCAATCTCTACGTCAAGATCTAGTCCAAAAGTCAATTTGTAAACTAGTGTTTTTTTCCCCAACAATGTAGATATGTATCACACATATTACAAAGAATAGACATTAATTTTCAACTAAACTATTAATATTTTAAGACCAAATGGACACCAATGCCAATTCAAAGTCAGTTTTTGTTTTATTAAATAACGACTAGATAAGAGTGAATAACGATTAGATAAGACAATATCACAACACTCTCCAGCAGGTTTTGTTTTCTTCGTGTGTTGCCTCTGTTGTACGGAAGTTATGTTGTTTTGTTGCAGGAGAAGACATTCTTGTTGGGCTGGTGGACTTGATGATTCTGATTTTCTTGTTGGGCTGTTATTGTTGCTTAGGCCCAGACCACTCTTACTCTCAACATTTAGTCTTTTACAATGAAACACAATGAGTAGACTTTTGGGCGCTAAATGTTTTTTTTATTTATTTACTTAATTACCACCAAGATCAGTTATATACGATTACTTATTAGTGAATTAGTATGTCAGCGTTACAATGAAATAATTAATCTTTGGTTCTAAATTATATAGTCTTTTACAACCAAATCCCAAATATAGAAATTGGACTAGCAAAGGAACTCAAAGACTATCATCAGTTCACAAATACGTACAGTTCCTTATTAAATGATTATATTGCAGATGTAATCGGTTCACAAGTAAAAGACTAAGGCATATAATTAACAACAACAGATTGAAGCAAAAGAAAGAAGAAACTAAGACGACATGATATATCTATTTAAGTTTGTGATCTACATTTGCAGATGCACGTAAGGATTCCAACGCACGCAATGAATACCAAGCCAATTATAGTTAGCTTCTCATCAATGTCACCAATGAAGTCCACAACTTCGGCAAAACGTGGCAGCAGAGGAAACACAAAACAGATCACCGAACAGTGGAGATTACGAAACACATGTTGGATGCAACTGTTAGCAAAGAAAGCCAAACATAACCTGCAAAAGCACAATCAATGATATATATTATTAGAGACAAATAACTTCTATCCTTCTTCTTTTTTGGGGACATATATATAATTGTAACTTTTGCTCTGATGCTCACCAGAAGTGTGGCGCAGAATAATCTATAGATGATGAGTTATTAACAAGATGCCATATAAACACCGTAATCCAACCCACGAAGAAATATCCAAGCATCATTCTCAAACTGTTCATCACCTCGTTTATCCTGCAAATCAATCAAACCGGTATCGATTTTGGCTTATAATCCTTATAAAATAAAATAAAACACAATATATATATATATATACCTTGTCTCTGAGCTAACACTTTGGTTATAAAACCAGAAACGCCAACCAAGAATAGGGAGAGTGAGAATACAACCACAAGTATAAGCGATGATCAGTGTAACCAATATTTTTGGTGAAGGCTGTTGCTCGTCTTTTGTCAGAGTCAGAACAGCAATGGCTGCAACAATCTGGAGCAAGGCCACAACAAACCCGACCAGAGTCCAAACAACTGCATCAATATCAGTTCTACTCGACTGAACACCCTCATGTGGTGTTTTCTCATCAGCTGATGAAGAATCGTCATTGACTGTAATGTCGACGACGTGCTCATCACTTGTGGAAGAATCACCATGGATTGTAACATCATTTCGCTCACTCTTGGACAGCAAAGGGCCCTCCATCTGATCAGTTTTACCTTCTTCTGTTTTGTCCTATTGGGTTTAAAGTTTATCTAAATTCCGCATTAAACTACAAAACAGATCAACATTTATCTGATTTCTAAAATATTTCGTGTTAAACTATTATGTTATGATAAATGAAAAGAAAAGAAAAACTATTATATTAAGACCAGACTACCTCTCAAGATCTGCAAAAGTCAACTGTAGCCGCTAGTCAACTACTCGGTGTTCATCTAGTACTAGCACTCTACCAGTGACAGTGTAGCACGAATTGATACGCTATATTTTGATCAGTCACTTGTAATCTTTTATTATAAAATAACCTGGTGCTAAGTATTATCGATTATTTCTAAGATAAAACCCTAAAGCATGGACATATATTTTTGAATGCAACATTTTATACGATATCGATATTCAACAGTAGTACAGTACTACAGTATGAATTTCTAATTTATTTAGTATAAATAAAATTAAATAGTAATATTTGCTTACACGCAACACGCTACATGCGGTGGAAATTAACAAAGCATAGACATTTCCTATTCGTTAGAGAGTGTATTTATTATTTTAAGACCAAATTAGATAATTTTTTATATTGATTATCGAACCACTAAACGTAGACCCTTTGTGCTAAATTCTTATTTTAATCTGATGAAGAGTAATCTACAGTCTACACAGCAAGACCAATTCTTAACGTTAATCGTCGGGCGCTTTTAAAATAGAGTAATTATTAAAGTTTAAGTTATAAGTCATTTATGAAAGAGAGCTGATGCAAGATAGCCAAATTAAGGACGATGTAGTTTTATGGAAGGCAGCCAATTAAAAAGATCAAAGCTGATGATAATAAAAGTTTTTATTCATAGGAGGTTTTGGGCACACATAGCTGACAGGCCGGGAGTTAAATTGTATTGTAAAGTTGTAAACATGCATGCCAATTTTTTAATGCTCTAATAGAAAAAAATGATTTGCTGTATTTGAACTTTTGTAACTGAAAGGTTATCATAGATAACAAAACGAACAATACAATATGACCAGTTGCATTGAACAAAATATATAATGACGATAGCTAGTAAATGAAGAACACGGTAACAACGACTAGTACATGAACAGCAAAACATGTAGTTGATCAACAACTACCAAATGAACAGAGCCATAGAGTATTATTAACAACTGTTGAAAACAAAGACATGATCCTATATCATTGTTTTTTAGTCGTCATCGTCGTCAATGCAGCCGCAGATTACACCGATCCCGTGGAAAATCTTTATAAAAAATTCCGAAATCTGCTCAAGACAATATTCAATAGGCCATATGAAGACCTTTACTGCAAATTCGAGATTGGGAAGCACATATCGAATGCAACTGAAGAAAAGTAGAGCCATCCATAACCTGAAAGAGAAACAATGGTTGATTAATAGTTTTAGAGAGCTAGGTGAATATATTGTGTATATATATATTTTGGTGGATATATATGTATAGTTTGTAAATTTAGTTGGATGCGTACCAAAAGTGTTGAGTAGTATCTAGACATGATGACAACTCGGTAAGAAAAACCCAAAGAAAAAACACAATCCAACCCACGAAGAAATATGCAAGAAGCTTCTTTTCCACAAAGTCTATCGCCTCGCTGCATGCAAATCAATGTCAACCATTATTGAAACAAGTTTCTACTTATGCCTAAAAAGAAAAAGAAAAAAGAACAGAGTTTACATATACCTTGTCTCTGAGCAATCCCATAAACGCCAACATAGAATAGGGAGAGTGGCAATAGAGGCACAAATATAACCGATGATCCATATATACCAAATTTCTTCTAGGTCTGGATGTTGTTCATCTTTTGTCAGAGGCAGCAAATATATGGCTGCAATAATCTGGATCAAAGTCACTACAAACTCGACCAATACCCAAACCCATCCATGTTCTGTTATTGAAGACTCGCCATGGGTTGTAATGTAGACGATGTGCTCTCTCTTGTTGGTCAACAAAGGGCCCTCCATTGATCACTCTTTTTTTTTTCTTTTTTCTATTTTGTACAGTCGAAGTTAAACTCCATATGTATCCGAGTTGAAACATAGAAAGCACATATAGGCTCTTTCTATAATGCTCTAGTGCTAGCTAAACTATTATTTTAAGACCAGTCTACGTCAAGATATAGTTCAAAAGTCAATCGTAGATTGGTTTCTCTTTCTTTTGCTTATAGGCTTGTAGATATAAGGGATATTTGAATCCGAATGGTGAAAAAACCAAACTACTAACACAAATTACTACATTATTATGATTACCAATTCTAAGTCGTCTTTAACACTGAAAGAATTAGTAAAAAGACAAAATTGCAAGTGGTGCTAAATTATAGTGTTCTACAGTGAAACACAAAAGGGTAGACGACTTTGGAGCTAAATTGTTATTTTAAGACCTACTACACCAAGATCAAAAACATTTTAATATAAATTGTAGGACGTTAACAAAATTAAATAAATATCAAATCTGACTTGGACCCAAGGAACAATGAGTCAATGACTCAGGGCCCATTAACCATTGGTCACGACTGACAAGGTGGAGCTGGAATTCAGCCCATTAAGGATTTTGACAGATTAACATTATATGCTGTCAAAAAAAAAAAAAAAAAAATTACTTCGATCTCAAACTCCTATTTTTCTCATGTTACCAATGTTAGTTGGATTTCAGAAGCATGATACAATGAATGATAGAATGCCTTTGACGATTTCCAAAGCAAGAAGAACACATACGACTAAAGGGGTGAGTAAGAGAAGAGGAGTGGTGTAAAAGACCATTGCCAATGTTAGATTCAGAAAAACATATCTAATGCAACTGAAAGTAAGGAGAGCCACACATAACCTAAGAAAATGTAAAACAAAAATGGGTGAGTATTACTTTTACTGCATGTATTGGAAAGTGAAAGTTCAATATTACGTTTCAAGGGATATGATAAGCACCAGAAGAATTGAAGAGTAGTATCATCTAGAGCCGATGAGTCGAATGCCGTAAAAGAACAAATCCATAGCAACACCACAAACCAACCCACGAAGAAAACAGTCATAAAAAAGTCCATATCCTTGTTGATTCTGCAAACTGATAAAAACCATATGCATTATATATGATCTGAATCTAATGCATAAAAGAGAGAACTGAGAGTTCAACTGAGAAACACAATTATTCCTATAAATATATTACTTTATCTCTCTTGCGTATTCTTCTGTAGAATCGAGGTCAACACTCCGGTTATAATGCCAAAATCGCCAACATAGGATAGGAAGAGTGGCAACACAGCCACAAGTATAAACGATGATCCATATGAACAATAGTATTTGTTTGTGGTCTTCATCTCTTGGCTGGATCAGAACAATAATGGCTGCAGCAATCAGGACCAAAGTCACAACAAACTCTATCGAATTCCAAACACTTTCACTTGTGTACGGATCATTACACGATTCAACAACCTCGTCTGGTTGCTGATCATCATCACTTGATGAAGAACTACCATCGTTTGAGATGTCGATCATGTGTTCACTCTCGGTCAACAAAGAGCTCTCCACATATTGATCACTTTTTGGTTTCTTTCCGATCAAAAAGCTATAGAAGTCTATCTTACATCCGCGTTGACACACTAAGCATATACCTTTCCTTCTTGGTGCTAAATTATTATACAAACATTTTTAGACCAGATCAACACAAGTCAACTATATAGTATTTTACAAATTAAATCATTATTAAATAGTCAGTTAAGGAGACACAAGTAATTACGGAGAGGTTCTTGAAAAATGCAGATCAAAGCAGTAACATTTTATGTGTGCATGGTAACACACACTTTTATGTAGTGAATATTTACAAAATATCTTGAGCAAAATTAAACACCCTAAAAAATTACCTCAACCTGATTTCATTATCCCCTAACCAGTGATTGACAGAGAGGGCAAGTGGCTTTGATTCTCAGCCATTTGTCTATACACGCCGAATGAAATACGTGCGAGCATTCAAGTTTCCTTGTAACCTCTGCTGCCTCTCCATATTTCTTCAAGCATATGCAACAACACTGATCGAACACCATCATTAAAATAATGAAAAATTTAACAACAAACAAATTAGGTTTTTTTTAATTCAGACACATATTATAATTATTATCATCTTATAATACTCACATCATCATGGCTCGGTCTCTGAGAAATAAATCCACATCCTAGTCCATCCCCAAGAGAATCTGCACATAGTAGAACTGTACATGCATATCTAATGCAACTGAAAGCAATGAAGGCTACACATAACCTGAAAAAGGGTAATCAAGAAGACAGAAGTGAGTACTGATTAATCAATTAGGATTAATTTAACAAAATCTTTGTTGGGACATGATTGAGAGTTGAACCTGTAAAGTTTAGGAGCATCAGAAGGAGATGAGTGTGCATCACAAATCCATACAATCCCCAAGATTAACCATACAAGAAAGATACATTCAACCACTATCTTCAAAACCTCCATCACCCCATCCATTCTGCCACTAATATTTGTTAGTTTTAATTTTACCTAACTAAATTCATTAGTTTCAATAACAACAAAGCAATATATAGTTTTGCTTTTAAAAAAATGGTTGTTATACCTCGTCCTTGAGTAAACCCCAACTTGGTTATATTTGCGGACACACGATTGGACAAGAAGAAGCGCAATGGTAACACAGCCACAAGTGTAACCGATGAGCCATGCTAACAAAAGTGCGTGTGGATGTTCATCTTTTGCCAGAGTCAATATTACTAATGCTGCAACAATCTGAACCAAAGTAACTAGTAATTGCATTGTATTCCAAAAACTATCACAGCCTCGCGTAGATGAACTTGAACCGTCTTCATCCGTAGACGGAGACGAGCTTAATGAAGAATAGCTTCCCTCGTCCAAAGACGATACTGCTGAAGAATCTTCATCGCTTGTAATGTCGATGATGTGCTCATCATTGTCATTGTGGTTTTCTTGCTCCATTGTCACAAAGTCGTACGTGTAGGCTAATGCCAGCCGACAATATATGCACTCTACATGACTGATCAAAACCTAGAAAATTTAACTATAATCGCACAATTCACAAATTAATGGAAAGACTAGCTTATCCATCAACTAATAAATAATATTCACATTCCAACAATGTACAATTGGAGATAGCAAGATATGGAATTGTGCCCAAAAAAAGAAAAAAAGAAATGGAATTATCTTATACAAATTGGAAATGTCTAATAAAAAGTGGAAATATTCCGTCATAACTTTTTTTTTATCACTTCCGTTTCCAATTCGTTGCAAAAGTGACAAAAAAAGAAAATATGGTGTCTATGTGTAAATAACGAAAGAGCCTGGTACGTGTGTGAATATCAGAAGTCGAAGGTATTTATGCAAATAGCCAAATTTTGTGTGATTATATTGTAACTAATCAAAGTATCGGGCGCATGTGTGAATTTGCAAAAACTAGATACTTATAAACATATTTTTATTGCTTTTTTTTTTTCTTTTGCAAAAACGTAGGTATATGAAACTATTTACGTAATGTTGTGTTACGTGTAAGGAAAAAAAAAGAAATAATTAACCTTCGTACGGGTGTTTGGAGGACGCCATAGATAACTTGTCTTAGCCTTGAGTAACACGTGTTCGGTTGTCAAGAAACATGAGTATTTAAAAATACACGTAGATTTTAATGTGCACTATCATATATACTCGACCATGGATATGTTGTTTTAGTTTTATGTCGTTGATTAAACGAATGGGAGAGAGACATAAACAAATCACACACAACATGGGATGTCTAACAGAGATAGTAATGTGTTTTTTATGAATCCAACGGCTGAGAAAGAAACCCTACTTTGTCGGTAACAAGAGCGTAGCCGTCCGATGTGTCGAATCAACGGATCCAGATCATCGACATTTAAACACGAAGCGGCAAAGGAATGAAAAGAAAAATGTCATAAAACCTTTCGACAAGATCTTCGAATGGGTCCGACAAGATAAATCAATGCTAAAACGAGCTTGTCTCAAACGGCATCGTTTACTGTTCCCACGAGAACATATAAATGTGGCGAACGTAATGATAAAGTTCAAACACACCAACACACCAATATACTTGAATCAAAAAAAAGTACCAAAATGGCGAATGAGAGTAGCATTCTTGGACTCGCGATCACCGAGCTACGGCTAGGTCTTCCCGGAGATATCACTGTCTCCGGAAAGAAGAGGGCTTCTCCGGAAGCTGAGAGAGGCTTGAAATGTGAACGGGCGACAAAGAGTCAAGCTGTGGGTTGGCCACCGGTTTGCTCGTACCGGAGAAAGAACAGTCTCGAACAGACCAAAACTTCGTACGTGAAAGTGAGTGTAGACGGAGCTGCATTTTTAAGGAAGATCGATTTGGAAATATACGAATGTTACCGAGATCTCGCTTCCGCTCTGCAAAGTCTTTTCGGATGCTCTATCAGTTTTGGTTAGTTAATTTCTTGCATATTTCTATAAATATTATATTTTTGGTTCTGGTCTTAAATTAAGGTTATTAACTACATATAATGTTTGTATGTATGGAAATGAAGATGATGCTTCAAAGGAAAGTGAATGCGTACCAATATATGAGGATAGAGATGGAGACTGGATGCTTGCGGGAGACGTTCCTTGGGAGTATGTTTCCAGTTATCTCTATACTAATCTTCATTTAATTTCGTTTTGTTTTAATTGGTTTCTAACAAATTTACAAAATTATTTGTGCGCAGATTGTTCCTTGGATCATGCAAGAGGTTAAGGATTATGAAGAGAACATGTAACAGAGGATGAATGGTTTTATCACTTTATGAGCCTTAAAGAAATCTTGATATACATATTTACAGAGGATGACCAGCACGCGGCACGTAGTACTTACTACTCAATATATGTCTCTCTTCGGAAGTCTTAAGGTTTCCGAAATTTTCGAATCGATGATATATATGAGAAGTTGTCTTCTTTTACATGATTTTTTCATCTTTTATCTTTTGGTAATAAATAATCAATGAAAGTAGAAACTCGCTGTAAACTACAATGATATAAATAATTCATATCAGAAATATGATATGAAACTCCGAAACTGTTTACATTGCCTCAAGATGGGAGAAAAATGTACAATCTCGTTACAGTAAATATAACCTCTTGTTACTGATTAGATGTGCCGGGGTTTGGAAGAACCAAACCACGGATCAAACTAGGCTAAACCGAATTCTAACCAGGTATTAGATGAGTGGGACTGTGGGGACTGTTTTATGAACAAAGAGTAGTAGATGAATGAAGACGCCCTGGACCATCAATGTGACAAATCTATTTCGGTTAGGAGTTGAAACCTTCAGAATAGTGTGTCGAGTAGCTTTGGAGATATGAGAACCGCCACAGATTTGAACTGCAAATTCAAAATAAGTCTTATGAGAATCAAGGAAACCAAACTCAAACATTACCAGACAGGTTTTCGTATGTGGTTTAACTGTATAAGCTTACTTTCTCTTGCCTATACTTCATGCGTATAGCACTTAAGGGACAACCTTTGGTGTTAAGCTGCAGATCTTGTAAGGCATGCACAGATGCTTTCAGATCCGCTGCTTTGTACGTTGTGTAATGCTCAAGAGTTGGATTCTGCGGGGGAAAAAAAATCGAAAAGAAGTTAAAGATTTCGTGGAACGAAACTATGCCTGGATATAGAGAAAGAGAAGCGACACTACAGACCCATGGGTGGTTTGATTGGTCCAATGTCCACTTGGCAAGAAAAACTGCTGAAGCAGCAACAACGGAAGGAAGAAACTTCAAGAAATGGTAGTCTATTAATGTCAATTCCGTTAGATAGCTGGCTAAGAACTCGACTTCAAGGCTGGGGCTCTGCCGAATCAGCAATCAAATATCGACAAATTCTCAGTCTTTCTACTAAACTTTGTAACAAGAGGAGATAGGTGAGCAAATTGCAAAATGTATTACCAGGCGAGAGGCTTGCGCTGCTCTGAGAAATCTCCTGAGGAACGTTTTTGGAGTGGGAGTGTATATTTGAAAGCTAAAATGCTTAAGTACTTGGTTCTCCATTTCCAAAACCTGCACATCACGATTTGATTAACACATTCGTACATTACACACTTTCTTTTCTAGGTTTTAGACAGCAATTTCGGAATACCTGATCTCTTGTATAGGTGTTATCCGTAATGAAGCAAAACTCCTCAATGCGTGGCGCACAAATTTCTTCATACTTTCTGTAAAGTTTTAAATAGAAACAACTATAAGTTTAGTTTCACTTTTGAGACGAGATTTACTCGTGCGTTGAGAGGAACATACGAGGCAATTAGCATGCAAGTGATTCCGAGCAGTTGAAGTTTCTGTCTTTGCACGTAGTTTCCATGGAGGAACCAGTCTATGAGATACACTGTGAGGTAGAGAGTATCAGGTACAAGTGTGTATTCCTCAGAGACCTGTGATTAAAAACAGACTTTTTTGTGAGAAATCGGAGAAGGGCACAGAAGCTGCAAAAGTGGAACTAAACACTAACCTCCACAAGCCAATCAATCAAAATCCCCCGCATGGACTGGGTGACATCCTTCTGCATTCTCTCCATAAAGTTGGGAACTGGTCTGCGTTTGAGCTGCTCAAGGAGAAGTGACACAGAAGCGCAAGGTATCAAACTCTAAGTGCTTTGGCTTACCAAGTATTTTAAGTGACTATTAAAGCCTAGGAAGTACCTCTGAAACACGCAAATTGTTGTAGATTTCAGGGGCATAAAGGCAGCACAGTAAAGGATCCTTGTCATCTGAATCAATGTCTACAAATTTCGGGATATCCGGTACAGTTGAACTACCAATAACAGCACTTTTCTCAGCTGTAACCATTTGCAGAGAAAAAGGTTTATAAGTCACTAAAGACCACTCCTTTATACAATAGGAACTAAACACATGAAAATTTGTGTCAAATAGATCACCTGTAGAAGCTGATCTCCCAAGAGGTCTTGGAGGCAATTTGAAATTCCACTTTTCAATACAGTTATCAGCTGTTTCATTAGTGTCTTTACAGGGAGACAGGTTTCCTGCTGTATTTGATACAACTTCTACTTTTGCATTGGTCCCGGACTGAAGATCTGTGACTTCTGAAGTAGCAGAAGATGTCAACTGGGATGAACTCGCGACTCCCTGTCCCTTCTTTATCTGCTTAATGTCTCTGGCCTGAAATGGCAAAACCTATGTTTCAGAGATGCATGTTTTATTTCACAAGATCTTCACAGATATCACAGGGGGCCAAACACTATATAGAAACAGAATGTACTTTAACAACCTCAAGTATAGCTGCATTGGAGTTAACATTTGTGATCTCCCCTAGAACAGCTCGCTTCTTCCTCTTGTTGGGTGCGGTGGCTCTTGTATCCTCCAAGGCTGGTCTTTTTGTGGTTGCTCTCTGTTGATTCTGTGTAGTAGAATTCACTTCTAAAGCGCGTAAAGCAGAGGCACGAGAACGAGTGAGTGGACGAGACACAGCATTTTCCTTCCCCATGTTTGAAATCTCACGAGAAGACACAGCCTTGAAGAAGTCTTGAGTCTTAGGACTGCATCATCTTCCTCCGATCTGTCAAATTGAAAACAAGAGAACACAAAGATCAACGATTAAGGCAATAGAGAGAGATCACTGTTCAGAGGAGATTGCTCATCTGCAACAATGCATATAAAGATGTACTGAAAAAGATGGCCAGATTGACTCAAAACTTAGAACGAACTGATTTTTTTTGGAAACTTTCCAGGAAAATTTGGTCCATTGAACCAATAGTATCAATAGAAGATACATTCAAGCTCCAAGGTTCAGACTTTTTTTTTTTTCAAAACTCCGTAAGATTCAATGGTAGAATCAAAAGTTATTTGATTTCCTTATCGAACAATGCATATAGTAATTCAGAAAAGAACCTCAATTTTACAAAATCTACAGAAAATATCACTCCAAAATTTGAAGGAAAAATATTAGGAAAATCAATATTCGAGAATCCAACTACTCTTTCTTTCTTTGTTGGGGTTTTAACAAGTATCATTCATCAAAAAAATTCTTGAGACGCAGCCACATTTTCTTGGGAAAACGAACAGATCGTGGGAAACCTCTGCAAACCCATGAATCAGAGCTGCAACATCTACAGGAATCTCAAAAGAACCCACAAAACCCTATGCCTAAAATCAACTCACACTGTCTTACTTTTTTCTTCACACTCTACTTAAGAAAAGCTTTGCAAATGGACTACTATGCAAGAAACCCCCCAAAAACAAAAAAAAAGTTGAAAACTTGCGGCGGCTCAAACGAAAACGAAATGCAGATACGCGGATGCACAAGCAGGAGCATAAAAACGAAAACTTTACTACGAAATCAAGTTAAAAAGACTGAGATTGGACCTGAGAAGCTCCAGAAAACTCTTCAGGAGAAGAAGAAAAGGATAGGAGCTTTGGACACAGATCGAGATGGTGAAATCCGCTCTTTGGGGAAAGAGACTGTCTTTGAGAATGAGCGGAGACACACAACACACTAGTGTGGTTTAAACGATAAAGAAGACACATTTAGAAATAATTAAGGAAAAAAAAAGAAAAGAAAAAGATAATAACTTTACTAACGACATTAAAACAGTGTTTATTTCAAAAAGAAAACATTACAAAAATGTTTTTTTTTTTTTCCTATGTACAGAGAGAAGAATGAAATTAAACAAAAATTGACATGTTTGAGTGTTGTTGACCATAAATAAGGTCCATAAACATAGGGGAGAGAGAGAGAGAGAGAGACAAAAAGACGAAGAGATTTTTATTGGGGGAAATGAAAAGTTGAGTTTAGTTTAATAAATTAGTGCTTAATTATATGAATTTAGAAGCGTAGTTAAACATAGATTTGGGTGATCAACCCGTGAGATATGGAGTATATAAATTGTGATTTTTGTTTTTGCCACATTTATTATCCTTTTTTACATGTACAATGGTATAATGTGTCATTAATTTCACACCGTTTACTAATTTAATGAGAAGCAACCGAGGCTACAAGTAGAAGAATCCATCCATCCCTAGCCATTATTATTACAACTTTTTGTTTTAATATTTCCTTCTTTTTTTTTTTTTTTTGGTTCACATGTTTTTACTCTCTTTTCACTTTTGTAGCAAATCTGTTAATTAACCCGGCCCAAAACGTAAAAACAGTCCAAATCGGAGAGGTCCCAACAACAACACGGATTAAAAAAAAAAAAAACTTCATCGTGAGTGTCGAGTGGGAGGGAGTGGTGTATATATGGTAAATGCTGCAGAGATCTTTGTTCTCTTTCTGGCCAAGCTTCGTCTTCTTGCTTTTTAGAATTTTGTCCATGTTTCTTGTCACATCTTTGTTTGCTCTTGTTATGTAGTAATCTTTGTTTAAAAAACAGTAACAATAATAATGATTGAAGATAGTTTATACTTATTTTAACCATGGTGTGTCTATTTACACTAATAATACAACGGTGTGCAACTATTCTTGAGAGTCCTACTAATTTTATGGGAATATTAACAAAATGGGCACTTTTCGATTCCTTTCTTTCGAAAAAGGACCTCAATACAGTAGTCACGTACAACTCAGCAAAAATCCTCTGTTCATGACATTTTTGCCCTTCTTGGCACTTACACACAAACATCAAGCCATGGCGTATCACGAGTATGTAAGGAGATAAAAAAAACTATACCCTAGTAGCAACTTAATCAACCCAAACCAATTTTAAACAATTTGTCATATATTACAGTCCGTTTCAGTTTTTCTATATGCGTTTGTTCAACTTCGTTAGATTGTGTTGCTGATTTGATTTGTTTTCTCTATAGTTCAACAGATCATCATCGACCGTAAGATCGGAAGGTCAAAGAGAT